TCAGGGGCTGCCCCGCCCCAGCCGTGGGGTCCGGCAGCGGCTCCCCCGGCCCGGTCCGGCCCTGCCCGGTCCGGCTGCAGAGCCGCCCGCCGCTGGGCTCGCTCCTGGGCCGGGCCTCGGTGTTCCCCGCGGGGAATTCCCAGTGATTAATTAGCGCAGGTGGCTTCCCCCCGCCGACCGGCGGGCTCCGGCCCCCGCTCCCCGCGCACCTCGCTTTCTCCCCCAGGCCAGGCGTGCCCTGTGCTCCGCGGCCTGCCCCGGGCTCCCTACGGCCGGTTCGGGGGCGGGGTGCGGAGCTGTCCAGCCGGGCCCCGCGGGTGGAGCGCTCTGGAGCTGTTGCGGCGGCCTCGAGGGGGGATGGCGGTGTGGGGCGAGCAGGGCCCTAGACCGAGGTAGAGCGCTGCGTGGTGGGGGCGGCCCCTGAGGCCCCTTTGGCCGTGGGGTGAAGGGAAGCGGCTTCACAGCAAATGGGCCTGAAGTTGTGTTGTGCTTCCTCGTGTCCTGTGCATCCCCCCAGGCCTTGTGGGATACCGCGCTCTGCCATGTGTTTCTCGTTTTCCCTCGGGGTCCCTCTCCTGGAGCCAGGACTTGTCCGTGTCCTATTGGTGCCACAGAGACCTGGTTGGTGGCACTGGAGTGGGCTTCACCCCACAGCCTGGCAGGGAATCTGGTGCTGAGGGTGCTTACAGAGCAATAGCAGCAGGTAGAAAGTGTTTCACATCTGCAGGATCAGCCCATCGGTGAGGATGTGGTCAGATGCCTGTGGGAATAGGGTTTGGAGAGGCTTGTTTTAGGGGACATTGCCTTCTCCCTGTTCTTGGGCCACTCTCAGTGTGGTGAACTGTGCCCAATGCTGCAGAGAAGGGCATGTACTTCCAGGGTGTTATGGTTGTTCCCATAGCGGGTGTTTAATGGGCTCCGTGCCACTCACGTGCAAGGATTCCTGGGGGAAGGAATAGGCTTTAGCATTAAGGATCTCAGTAGTTAGTGGGATGTCTCTTACTTGTGCTGTTGTACAGGTCCAAGCCTCAGTGACAGTTTTTATTTGAAGTCCCTTTGGCTACTGCTTAAATCTGGTCATCCTTCAAAATGGAAGCTGCAGAAGACCATCAGCTTGAAACTCCACTTTATGCACCCACAGTCCCGAGTGCCCAGTGGAATAGGAGCATAAGTGTGGGAATACCTGTCTGCTGTGCTTCTGGTGCTGCCTTGGTGTATTTACCTTTGCAAATGCACGGTTTAGCCTCCAAGTGCCTCAGAGAGGACACCACGCTCTCCATTTTGTAGTTGAAGAAAGCTGAGGCACAGAAAGTAGGTTTCTCCCAAGATCACTCAGGTGGGATGTGGCGAAGCAGCAGGATGATCCAGATCTCCTGAATCCTGACTCTCCATCATTTAAAAATCCTTTCTTTCCTCTTTAAAGTTGTCTGAGAGGGGAAAAACAACCCTCTCATCAAAGGTATTTTGGGACACATCATGACTGCCAAAGATTTTAACTACAGGCAGTGACGTTTTTGTAGCATCTTTTGGGCTTCCAGATTAAATGACAGATTTCATGAGAAAGGAGAAAATAAAATGGCATTTTCCCTGTAGTCTAATTCCCACACATGTGAACGAAGCGGCTGTTCAATGTTGCTGGAATCAATAGTAGCTTTCTTAAGTTAAAATTTAAACTCCCCAAAACCCAATCAGAACCCTTTATTTCTGTTTTAGTCCAGAAAATTACAAGGCTCCTATTAACTTCCACAGAAATCTGTTTTTTATACATTCTTTTTTAACTTTAATCCCCATACAAGAGCATAGGCTGGATCTCTGCTTCTGCTTTGTTTTTTTACTGCAAGACAGCTGGGTTTTCTTCTTGAATTCCCATCCTTCCCACAAGCCAGGGAGGATACTGAGTGAATCCACATGGATACCTATGAAATATATTTTTAGGGCAGCGTGTGTTTTCAAAAGCATGTACTTAATAAGCTTGTCTTGTGCATTCGTAAAGCTGCTTTGGCGTACGAGAGAACTGAAACATCAGCATGAGCGGGCTCTAGCACAAATAATTCCTACTTCTTACCCTGATGGAAAATTACCTGATAGAGTCACCTGTGACCCTGCACCTGAGTTTCCACAGGAGCAACAGAGTGAAGTTTTGGAGATGGAGGTTGTTTTTTTATTGCTTATCAAAGCACTGCAATCGATTCATCTCAGTGCAACAGCGGAGGCAGCTGGCTGTGGCCATGGGGGAGTGCTTGGCAAAGCACCCAAATAGGGTTTGGAGGCATTGTTCTCATGGGAACATGCTGCTCTCTTTAATAGTCTTCTAATAGCTTTCCATGCTCTCAAATACATGGGTTTTTTTCAAAGATCCTGTAGGAATGATTCGGAAGGGGTTTTGCCCATGCAGGTAATGTACAGGTGCACTGAAACACAGGCCAAAAGGACTGGCAGCTCCAGCTCACTTAAATGTCACTTTCCATCCACTTCCCATTCATTTCCTTCCTTTGCCTTCCACTAATACCAGTTTAGATGCAGTTTTTAATGTAGCTCTCCCCTGAAGGTGCCTGGGAAGTCTGGATGCTTGGAGCTTCCATGCCCAAGGAGTTAAGGTGCTGTTTCAATGTGTGGGGACTGGTCTTTGAGGTGTTTTCCTTTGTTCTCACTCTTGCTTCCAGTTGACCCACCTTGAGGATTTATCTGTAGCATTTATCACAAATGATTTTTGAGTAATTGGTTGACTGTTGTGGCACCTCTCTGTTTCTTGCTGGTATTTCAGTTGATGGTCTCCTCTATATTCACGTTACTCAAAGAAGTACCTGAGAAACGGGATGATACTCAGGTGAATAAGAGCTGGTATAAACAGAAGGCGTAGTGCCTTGTAAGGGAGTTTTGTAGTATTTTGGCTTCTAGTTGTAGTATGTAATAAGAACTGACACTCTGCATGCTTATAACTGTAAGGGTGTTTTTACTTTTTTCTCCCCTAGAACATGGTGATGAGTTTCCGAGTCTCAGATCTTCAGATGTTGCTGGGTTTCGTTGGCAGGAGTAAAAGCGGACTTAAACACGAACTAGTCACCAGAGCACTGCAACTGGTGCAATTTGACTGCAGCCCTGAGGTTTTCAAGAAAATTAAGGAGCTCTATGAGACTCGCTATAACAAGAGGAGCTCTGAAGCTGCTCAGCCCCAGCCCCAGCAGCACCGCTCTGCTGAGGCACTCTCCATACACACCAACTACGACCGCGGGAGCACCATTCCCCGGACTACTATCCCCACCACTAACATTGACTATCCTGCTCTCTATGGGAAATACCTTAATGGACTGGGGAGGTTGCCACCCAAAGTTGCAAAGCCTGAAGTTCGCCTGGTGAAACTTCCCTTCTACACGACCCTGGATGAGCTGTTGAAGCCAACAGAATTAGGTGAGTTTTCAACACGCTGCTGCATTCATGCTGGGCTCAGTCGGGGAGAGAAAAGTGATTCTGGATTAAGTGTCAGAAAGGAGACAGTGTTCTCAAGGGTCTGTGGCAAGAGAGAGGCTGATTACCAGGGTGGTGGGTGCCCTCCTCTCCCTGCGTTCCCCCCTTAGAGGGGAATATTTCTGTCTGGTTTTCCCCCTCCTTGCCTTAGAACAGGTCTGTGGTTGCTTTGAGATGTAATTTGCAGTCCTGTCTTGTTTGGCTGTAGCTTTCCCATCCTTCGTTGCAAATGCTGCTGTGTTGCATGGTGCGGTCATTCCCTGTGAATCAGAATCTGTATTCCATCTCTGTAACAGAGCAGTGGATTGATGAAAATCATTCCATGTTGGTATCACACCTGTGCTAAGCCAGTCTGCTGGCACATGCTACACTCATGCTGTTTTCCAGTGCTTAAAATACCTGACCTAAAGCCTCCTGTGGATGAAAGAGGGTGGCACACACAGAAAAGGGTATTTCTGACTCATTTTGTGCTTCTTGTAGCTATTTGTGTCTGATGCTATGTATTTTGAGCTAGGAAAACTGGAAGAAGTGCTTTTTTACCCACCCTGGGGCCAGGAGGCTGATTTTTCATCAGTTTAGTTCTGAGAAACAAACAGGATTGTCACCAGAGTTTCACAGAATGTTCTTGTAGCAAAGACAGTGTATATGAAGGAGAAGCATCACTGTGGGTCGCACCTCAGCATCTCACAAAGCCCATGTGGTGATATCAGGCTTCACTTCTAAATGAAGCTGGCACTTGGGAAGCTGCTCTGTCTTTGCTAAAAAAAAAAAGGTTTGATGTGCATGTGGATTGGAGGGGAAAAAAAGATAGATGAAGGTGTGATTGTGCATGTACAAAAGGAGGACCAAGTCATCAGACTTGGGTAGTTTTCATCTCTGTTCATCAGAATATACATAGTTTTCATCTTCGTTTGGTAGCTTCAAATCTGTTAATGCTATGACTGATAAAACAGTTGAGGGGTGATTGCTAAAATAGTTTAAATGCTCTTTGGGGAAGGAGTTAGTTCAGCCTTAAACATGGGGTGGCATTTGTTAGTCAGAAACACAAATGTAGTGTTTGAAAGGAAAACAAATTCTCAAGAGGTAGAACCATCCAGAGGCAGGAGGAGGGCCTGGCTGTACTTACTGTGATTAACAGATTTTGTTAAACATTGACATTAAATCTTCTGCATCGGATCAGAAGCAAGGTCTCATTATATCGAGTAGCTGACACCTCCCTCGGGTCAGCTTGTTCCCTGCAGCACATTTGACTGATTTTTCCCTCCTGATGAGAGTGGTTTCTGTGTAATGGTGGGGGATTGCTGGTGAGGAGCTGGGCATGAGCAGAGCTTTAGTCTTTGTCCCAGTCAATGTTCAGAACCTAACAGCATCTTCCAGACACTTGTTTAATTTTCCCTGCCTCGTGACCTGCAATCCCTTCTGCCAGAGCCAACGGAATGAAGAAGCTACCTGTAACAGCTAGCTGCTGGAATAACTTCTACCTGAGGAGTTATGCTTGTGTGGGGCTCTGCTTAGTGCGGAAGGGTGATATAACAAACTGCTCTGAGGAAAATGAAGCATTTTTCCGTATGGAAGCTGCAGCAGTTTATGCTTCATTGCCCAGGTTTCCTGTTCTGTGTCTGGACCAAGCATAGGCTCCTTGTCAACCTCAGAAACTCGTAACGTGGAACTATCTGAAAGAGATTTAAGATTCCAGATCCACTTGGAGACGCCCAGCTGCTGTTGTAGTACCCTAGGCCACAAAAAGAGCTATTTTAAGCAGATAACCATGGTGGGAGTAGGGGAAGCTTAATTTATATGTTCCAGACTTCAATTAGAAGCATCTTTCATAACGACAAAGCTCTCTTGCCTCTCCAAGATGATTGCCTTGAGATGAAAGGTGAGGTGGGCGATGCCCGATTTGGCCTGTAGGCAGAGCAGGTTCCCTGAAGAACTATCAAATTACTATTAGACTTGTAGACAACAGTGGCTTCAGCTAAAAGCAGATAAATTAGGTTCCTTGCAAGCCAGCTAATACCTCATATTTGGTAACTGCAGACACAGTTTCAGTCAGTGGAAGCGTTGAGTTTAGCATCTGAGTTATCTACATGAAGCAGCTTCTGCTGCTTCTTTCTGGTCAGGTCTGAGGGCTCTGACATGAAAGAATTTGTTCTAATTTACTGAAATTGCTGAAATTCTCTGGGGTGGATAAGGCTTAAAATGAAGATTGATCAGATACCTTCTTAGAGGGAATGAATCCTCACATCCCTCCTGCACTGTATGTTAAGTAGCTGACAAGGGGAGTGTTTGTGTGAGCTCCCTGGTGTCTGAGCACCTCGCTGATAAGTGTACGTGTGCTCTGGCACCTTTTTGGGCTGAAGCAGTGTGAACAGTTTTTGACACTCACAGTGTGCTGTGAGGGCTTCTGAAAGGGGTTTTTGTTCTGCACATGAGCTGCGACAGCCCATGCTCACTGTAGATACTGAGGCTTCTGGTCTTCTCCTGGAGGCATGCCAGAGAAGACCTTGGGGTACAGCTGCAGGAGCACAAGGCCGTGTAGTCTGCAGGGTCCTGCTGCTGTCTCTGTACACAGCCTTGTTTGGGTTTCTCCCTCTGATAATACCTGCGGTGGTGTTGCTCTTCTCTCATGTCTAAGTCCTAAAACTGCTGCTTCAGCTCCCCACCCCTCCTCTGAAGCTGGACTTCAGCTGCTATAAACAGGGCCACTGATTTTGTGGCGAAGGCAACTGCCTTCCCCTGCTGCAGGGGCAAGCACCGCTGCCATGAGGGAGCTCCAGCAAATCCCAGCAAAAGCACATGCTCGTGCTGATGACCATGTGTTAAATGAGTCCTTCACCAGCTTACAAATATAAGAGATGCTGTACAGTTAACTTACAGAATCCCAGCCTGGTTTGAGTTGGAAGGGAGCTTAAAGTTCATCCAGCTCCAACCCTCTGCCACAGGCAGGGACCCCTTCCACTGGAGCAGCTTGCTCCAAGCCCCTGTGTCCAACCTGGCCTTGAACACTGCCAGGGATGGGGCGGCCACAGCTTCTCTGGGCACCCTGTGCCAGCGCCTCAGCACCCTCACAGGGAAGAGCTTCTGCCTCAGAGCTCATCTCAGTCTCCCCTCTGGCAGGTTCAATCCATTCCCTCTTGCCCTGTCACCAAGTAGCTGCTGACAACCCTAGCATTCCAGTGGAAGATGTCCCTGTCCGTGGCAGGGGGTTGGAACTGAATGAGCTTTAAGGTCCTTTCTAACCCAAACCAGTCTGGGATTCTGTTTGATGCATCACAATAGCGACCAAATTGCCTGATTTGCAATTCAGGAGTGGGCTGGTCTTGATACTGGAAAACTTTGCTGGAGAGGTGACAGTGAATGGATTGGATACTTCATGGGCTTTGACTTCCATCAGCATCCCCCTCAGGCTCCCGTTGGTGCTGTGCTCAGAAGGCAGACGCTGTTTCTGTTTTCATAAAGGAAGAGTGAGCTGATAGAGATGCAAAATAAAACACGAACAGCTTCACAGTTTTTTCTAATCAGGTTTGCTTTGTCTTTGTGTGGCTGAACAGAGAAGAGCGTGTCCATGGGCAGTTATTTAAGCAACAACATTAAAATGAGAGTCCGTGTGAAATGCTTTACTCCTCGCTGTTGTTTTGGTCAAGAAGACATTTTGATGGAAACTGGAATTAAATTAAAAGTCCATAACAATACCTTAGTTTTTGTTCTGAAAGCCCTTTTGTCAGTTTAAAGCTGAATTACCAAGGGGAGGTGTCTGTAGTCAGTGAATGATTTTGTCACCGTGTCCTCTGAGATCTTAGAGCTGCTGAGGTTTTATCCTTCCTTCATCTCATCTTACTCATACACAGTAAAGTGCATTTCCATCCTTGGCAAATTTTGGTGTATTGGCCTTGAATAAACTCACAGTTGAGGTGATGCAAAGAAAAACACCCAATTCTTGTTAAAAAGGTAATAAAAAAAAGCTGTTTTATCACTTCCCATTGGTTGTGTTTATCCTGTGACTTTCACCCGCTCAGGGGCTGACTTCAGCTGGAAACATGCTCAGAGAATTTAACTAAATGTGTCTAAATTGAATATAAGGTACTAAGTGGAAGTTGTTACACGAGTTTTGCACATCTCAAGCTTCATTGTAACCACATTAAATTGATGTGATCTTAAAATCGTCAAGGGATGAAAGGCTACCGTTAACACTGGGCTCTCAGAGGAGCTTGTCCAAAAGCCACTGCTTAACACCCTGCTGCAAGCACACCCTGAAAGCTGTGTGTTTAAGTCATGTTTTTTTCTCTTACAGCTGTTTTTTTTTTGATGATTTTTTGTAATACTAAGCTGATCTTGTTATTTTTGTTGCTGTTTCCTTTCTTTCCCAAAATCCGTCTGGTAAGTTCATGTTTTCATGTCGTGCATAGGTCTCTTGCTGCTTTGAGCTCTAGTGATGCCACTCATGGTTTGTGCTCATGGATTATTTGGGGGGAGGAAAAATAAAGAAAAAGCAGCTCCAGATCCACTGTGTATTAGTGTGCAAACTGGCAAAACAGGCAAGGAATGAATGAGCAAAACTGTAATCAGTAATAGAGTTACCAAAACGCACAATGATCAGCGTTAAGCTGCATGGGAGAAAACAAGACTTGGGAATAAACATAGCTCAGAACATCAGCGTGCTTCACAGTGTGGGAAGAGCTGGATGTTATCAGTTTGATGTACAGTCTCTTTTTTTCTTCTCCAGTTCCACAGAATAATGAGAAGCTTCAGGAAAGTCCATGTATTTTTGCATTAACACCGAGACAAGTGGAGCTGATCAGAAATTCCAGGTACTTCTCGTTGGGTATTAACAGTACAGGAAAACATTGCTGTGTGTTTCCACAGTGTTCCCTCTGTGGAAGCTTTTGTTCTGTGCAAGGAAACAGTTTGTTTGAGGACATGAGCAGACAGGCCACTTCTCATGTAAAGCAAATAGCTTTGGGGGAGGTGGGAGGTCCAATTTCAGCCATCTAGGTTCTAATGCTCCTCTAATCTTGCCTTTGAATAGTACGTTTGGGCAGGAAAAGTGCTATGAAATGGTTGGTGACCCAGGTTGTCTGCTGAGCTTGTGTTGTGGGTATTTGCACATTTTTCTTTGCCTCAGATGTTCCAAAGCTACCCATGTAACACTGCCCCTGAAAGAAAGCTTCCTTGTTGTAAAGGCTGCTATAGTAACTGTGTAAGAAAACATCTTGCACCGGTTAGGATTTACCCTGACCTCTGTCACGATACAACTTTTGATCCAAACAATGAAGCACCCCAGAGATGTCAGTGCAGGCAGTGAGGCTTCCTCTTTCCCTGACCCGTCCCCTGGCCCTTGCTGTGGGGAGAGGACAATGACACAGAAGAGGTCCTCAGAACTAAGCAGAAAACCTTTAGGTGTTTTTCTTCACAGTAATATCACACTGTTATCATGGAGTGGGTGAAATATGATGTTTCTTGGCTATTCAGTGCTTGATTACTGTTGCAATCCAGTAGGTCAACAGAGGCAGTGCAGGGGAAGCTGCTTGAAGACTTGACAGAAGGGAAATGATAAACCACAGAAGTCTTTTAGGGTGATAAAAGACTACACCCTTTTGTCATAGCTGATTCTTGGTGCTCTTTTCTCCATGTATTCAGATTTGTGAGAAAACTTAGGGCCAGTGCCACGAATATTTCACAGAAGGGCTTTCAGTGAGTCTTTGCTTGTCTCAGATGACCACTCAGCATCAAATTCCCTGGCTTGTGGGCGGTTTCCACATGTGTGACCCCCAGCTCTAAAAGTGCCCAGTCATCTTCTGTCTGTCAGCTGAATGGAGGTTCCATCCCTTCCACCCCCCGATGTCTAAACATTCATATTAAAACTCTGAGCTGGAATGTGAAATGCTGTCAGAGGCAACTCAAGACTCATTTGGGGATCTTATGCTTTGTGTCCTGGCAGAAATGAGTGTATGCTTTCACCTGTGTACAAAGACCTGATAAAATACCCTTGTTCTGGGGTCTTCTGCTTTCCTGGTACCAGCTGAAATCCTGTTATGATCAGCACCACTGAACTCAGTGATATTGAGGTTATTCTGCTTGTGCCACTGGTTCCTTTGTTTGCGTGAGCAGCTTTAGCTGAATAATTGAACAAAGAGAGTCTTAAGAACACTCAGGTAGTCCTGACCTTAAATCCTAGCTGTGTAAATGCTTCCAAATCACCAAAAGGATGCCAGGCAAATTGATGGCTTTCACCCGACACCATTCCAGGTTTGAAAACCCAGAAATAGGCTGCAGGATTGTGCATTAGGGGAAAAAAAAAAAAAATCATTACAGAAACACTGATATTTGTAGGGGAATTGTACTATTTGAATGAAATTCTGTAAAGTAATTCTTTAAAGGTCTATAAAACTCACAGCAGCCTAAAACTCTGGAGTCTAGCACAAGTGACAGCTGAGTTTGGTTGTTCTGCTTTTTTTGTGGGTGTTATTTTATTTTGGGGGCTTTGGGGGGTTTTGGCTCTTTATATCATGAATCTGAACTTTCCGTTTCTTCTCTAATTTACTAGGGAGCTGCAACCTGGTGTGAAATCAGTTCAGGTTGTGCTAAGGTATGTCTGAGCATGGGGCTGATTTAATACGAGATGCAGACCATGGGGGAGAGAGTGTACTGCCTAAAGACAGGAACTTTCAGTGTGGCTTTAGCAGTTACAAAGATAACTTAAGCTGCTTGTTCACATGCCTGACACAAGCTTCTTAAACTCTCCTTCCTAACCTCTGCTTGAGTCAGTGCTGTGGTGGAAACCAGCAGTGTCCAAGGGTTTGCTACCCAGGTACGAAGCCTGCATCCGAGCTGGGAGAGCCGAGTGGAATTGGCTTTGCTTTGGCCAGATGAGGGAGCATGGGTTGGTGTGGTGATGTGCAGAGGGTTTTGAACATGCAAACAGTGTGGGGATATTGAGAGACGTGTTGTTTCTTTCCAGAATCTGTTACACAGACACTAGTTCTCCTCAGGAGGATCAGTACCCCCCAAACATCGCCGTGAAAGTGAACCACAGCTACTGCTCAGTGCCGGTAAGTAAGCTCAGCTGGGAGCTGTGACACTGCAACTGTGGAAGGACTTGTGTCATTTAGAAGGACATTGCTTTACTGATGAATGCAGACAAGAAGCCAGAGTATAAAAGTGCACTGCTTAGTTTAAAGCTGATTTTCTCGTGAATTAGATGTGGTGTTAATAAACTCTTTTTGCAAAAAGACTCAGTCCTTTTTACTTCGTGCTTGGTCTGATTGTTCAGTTCCCTTCTACCCCCTTCCTTGAACAGTGTTGGTGAGTAGAATTTAGTGATGCTGGTGAATAGATGGATCCATGTAGAAGCATCTTGCGTAAAAAAAGAAATGTGTGTGTATCTATGTATATATTTGATCTTTCTGCCTTAGGGCTACTATCCATCAAACAAGCCTGGAGTGGAACCTAAAAGGCCCTGTCGTCCTATCAACCTCACCCATCTCATGTACTTGTCTGCAGCCACCAACCGCATCACGGTTACCTGGGGGAATTACGGGAAGGTACGTGTGGAAGGAGGCGGCACAGAACTTCCAAGGGCAGGACAGCAGCCTCACTCACTCTTTCTCTCCCTGTCTCATTAGAGCTATTCTGTGGGGCTGTACTTGGTGCGACAGATGACCTCAGCAGAGCTGCTGCAGAGGTTGAAAACCATCGGGATCAAACACCCAGAGCTCTGCAAAGCCCTTGGTGAGTATGACTGCTCTGAGGTGGCATGGGGGCTCAGCTGGCTGCCTGTCACACTGCAGCACTCCTGACAGCCAGGAAACCTGCTGGAAACCTGCTTGGGAACAGCTGCCAAGTTTTCTACAGTTTCTTTCCTCCAGTTGTCTAAAACACTTTCGAGTCGAGCAGCTTGCTAAGCTCTATGTCAGTCACATGAAATCACCCCAGATCTGTGTGTGAGCACAGTGCTCCTGCAGCTCATGGCTCTGCAGAAGCTCTGAATCACTGGAGCTGGATTTAGAATTTGTCCTCAGGTCGTATCGTGGTGAGTGCTGCTGAGAGCCTGTGTCGTCGTGACACGAGCGGCTTCACGCCTTCACCTGAGCAATTATGAGCTGACAAATGCTACCACAGCACCTCAGCCCTGACCCACACTATTTCCAAAGGAGGTTTCTGGAGCAAGGGATCCTGGTGAAAATCTGCTGCCCCAAGCCCCTGTGAATCCTTGGGGCTGGCAGTGGAATTTCACCACCAGCACTTTCATATGCCTTGAGAGCTTCAGAGAAGAGATGATCCCGAGAGATGCTTATCCTAAACCATCCAGGTAAATCACTGTGGTATGAGGCAAATGCAAAACATGACTGAAAATGAGGGGAAATTATCTTCCTAAGGTAGAATCTGTCTGGAGGCGTTCCAGTTCATGGTACCAGTGAGAGTGTTTTTACTATTTAGTTCTGGATCGTGATGGTCTTTGAAACATCCTCTTCAGATCATGGGCAACTCTTACTGAGAATAAGAAACATTATCTTGAAGATAAACATTAGTTCATTGGGCAGGAGATGATCTGGGGCATGTCCAGTCTTCAGACACCTAACGCCCGTTGTGGCACACGTTGCAGCTTCAGCCAGGCTTTTGATCTTCATATGCAGTGCAGCATTTTTGCAGTAGATTGCTGAATGCTTCTGTACCCATGTGCCACACCAGTGTCTGCAGCAGTTTTGATCTTGTTCAAGCACTCTGACAGTGAGCACTTAAGACATAAGAAATGAACATTTCCATGTGTTAAATACCTACCATCCTCCAAAGCCCAAGGCACTGAGCAGAGGCTGGCTTTTGAGTTGTCCTAAACTGCAGAGGATCCTCTCATTTTCTTCTGGCACTTCTTGAAACCAGGGTCAGTAGTATGTGCTGTTCCCTTTCAAGTGAGCACTTGCAGGATGGCCTCTCTGAGTGTGGCAGACAGGCTTGAAAGCAGCTTTACACTCAGTAAAGTGGGTGCCCCTGGTCCTGCCGCATTAGGTAAGTAACAGCTTTGGCTGGACTGGCGGGCAGAGACAAGTTGCATTTGCTGACCAGATAGAAACATCTTGTTTCAGTTCCTTTGGCCTGTTACTGCTTGGCGGTTGTTTGGACATCTGAAACTGGCAAGAACAAGTAGCTGTAAACTTTGCTTTTATAGCTCAGGTCTGTTCTGCAAACAATTCTATCTCATGTTCCTTGTAATAGCCCTCAGTACTCACTGAAGCTGCCCTCTGACTTTGGTTGTATCTTGGGGCTGACTCATCTTCTGCATATGCTTCTGCCAACTTTAGTATATAGGAAAAATTGTCTGACAGCAGAGATGTTAATTCCATGGCTGTGGATCCCAAAGCAGTCTTAAGCCAGCTTGATTCTGCTCAGGAAGTCCTAGAAAATCCCATTTCTCCTTCCCATGTATCATAGTGATTGAGGCACAGAGAATGCTCTCACAAAGAACTTGACAAAAAATAAAGCTTGGATGAAAAGTCTCCTAATGTGAAGAAAACCCCACCAAATCTTGTAGTCTCATGGGACTCTCACATCTGAGAAGCCACTCTCTAATTAGAGCTGCGTGTAGCAGAGCTGCGTGTAGCCTCATTGTCTAGAGACATCTTGTTATGATCTGAAAAGGTCAAAAGAAATGGTTGACTTGCTCCAAAGAAAAATAGTGATGGAAGTGTCAGAGGCCCTCTCAGAAGCAGCTGCTCTTCAGGAGTTGTGCAGCAGTTTAAAGCTAATTTTCTGTGTTCATTCCTCACCGTGATGCGGGACCTGCACGTCTGCTGCTCTTCTTGATTTGCCTGCAGCTCCTCTGGGTTTTCCTTTCAGGATGCAGCAGCGGGGGCAGGATTCTCTCTACCTCCTTTCCTAACATCTGATTCTTTCCAAACATAGGCTGGCTCAGTGCTTGTGACTGGTTTTGCATGGCTGCCTTGCTCTTTGAGCTCTCTGCTCTGGTACCTTTGGGTCTGTTTGTGGTTCCTGTGAAACAGTCTGCTGGAATAAATGAGCTGGCCAGTGTGTAAGTTGAAGAGTTGCAGCCTGGTAGTGCTAAGAGAAGGCTTGTTTGTTTGATGGCGAAATGATGGGATGTGGTTTCCTGTCAAGACTTAAAAACTTACAGAGGGAAGACGAAGATTAGATATTAGGAAGAAATTCTTCACTGTGAGGCCCCTGCACAGGGTGCCCAGAGGAGCTGTGGCTGCCCCATCCCTGGCAGTGCTCAAGGCCAGGTTGGCCTCAGGGGCTTGGAGTGAGCTGCTCTGGTGGAGGTGTGCCCTGCTTACACAGCCTGGAGTTTGTAAGTAGGAGGCAGAAAGGTTGCTAAGAGGGCATTAACTGTAGCCAGCCGATAGTAAGCAGCCTCATCCCAGCTCTGAAGTCCACTCAGTCTCCCAGTCTCCTTCATTTGCTCTTCCTGGATGGGAGGCAGAACGTGGAGAGCTGTGTCGTTGGGATAGGAGGGTCTGCAGGAAAACCTGAGTTTCCTGGCTCACCCAGAAGTGCTCCATGACCTGTGCATAACCTGCCTCATCCTGCTCGAGGTTTTCAGCTAGCCAAGCAGTGTCTGTGCTGAGCTCTGCAGGTTGCACAAGCCTGGGCCATCACAGCAGCTTTCTGTCCCCAGTGTCTCTTTTCTCTGAGGTTGTCATCCATGGGGAAAATGCCTCCTGCACAGCCAAGGGCTCCTGGTGAGCTGCTCAACCTGTGCTACGTGTTGTTTCCAAGGGTTTAAGTTTGCATCTGTTAAATTCTGTGCCCTCTACTCTTCCTGCAGTAAAAGAGAAGCTACGCTTGGACCCAGACAGCGAAATTGCCACTACAGGTGTTCGTGTCTCGCTTATCTGCCCGGTGAGTCTTTGCAATATGTTTAGTCTGGTTTTGTCAAGAAACCCTTCTCTGTTGCCAGACCAGCTTTGCAAACTACTGAACCCTTTGTGCTTGATACTGAGAACTGTCTGGTGGTGGCTTGGGTGGGTTTCATTGCTGATCTCCTGCTCTTTGCTTCAACAGCTGGTGAAGATGCGGCTGTCTGTGCCGTGCCGGGCAGAGACCTGTGCACATCTGCAGTGCTTTGATGCAGTCTTCTACCTACAGATGAATGAGAAAAAACCCACGTGGATGTGCCCTGTGTGTGACAAACCAGCACCCTATGACCAGCTAATAATTGATGGGTGAGTACACTCGCTTCTCTAGCCTCAACCTCTTTCTTTACTCCACTGGGTGCAGCGCCGTGTCTTTCGGTCTGTGCAGCTGATTGAAGCTCACCTCAAAACAGAGTTGGAAGCTTTTTGTGCTGGCTTATAATACTCTGCCTTAATTGTCTCAGTGTGTTAGAGCAAGGCTTGACTGTCTGCTGCTTGTAATTTTTGGATTACATTATGTTGGGAATTACGTATTCCCTGCCTCACTCTTCATCAGGCTGATGAACCCTCACAACCAGCCATCTTGGTTGACAGGTACTGAGATGCATGGAATAAACAGCTTTAAAAGCACCCAGTAAGAGGATTTTTGATAGGAAACATTTTCCTGTTCTCTTGTTGGTGTGAGGTGCTCACCAGCTCACCAGCAATTCTTGGCATACTGTGCATTTGATTGGGGGATCTTCTCTGGCAGCTGTTAAACAGAACGTCCTGCCCTGGAGATGGAGGTACAAATGCAGGATTTGGGAAGGTTTTTGTGCAATCTGTTCCAGTACAATTTCCATGGACATTGTGGCTATTTTAGTGCCAGGGATGGGAAGGATGCCTCAATGGGAACTAATTCTGTGGTTTGTATACCTGTAGGGCAAAAAAGCAGGAGGCTCAGATACACTGGAGGGACAGAATTGAAATACTTTGGTTATATTGTCCAGGGTGGAGGTTTTGTGGATCCACCCTGGCTCCCTGGGCCTCCCTCTGGAGCCACCCAGTGGCTGAGCCTGTGCAGCAGGACCTTGGGGTGTTCGGGGTGGGGGCCAGGAGCTCCCTGCTGGAGTCACCATCCAACACACTGGTGATCTTGTCAGGCAAGTGGGGTGCACTGGGAGGGAACAGGCTTTTGGTTCAGGACTCCCCGAGTGAAGGGCAGAGAATGAAATTTTGCCCCAGCCATGCTTTTGGACCCACTGCCTCCCTGCGTTGGGCAGCAGCACAGAGCCCCCCCCAGCATCCCCATTCTCAGTGTTCCAGTGAGGCAGTCCCTCTCTCTGCATGAGGGATCTTCTCTTTCTACTGTCTCATTTTGAACACAGTTGGAGTAGTGCTGTAAAAGCACAGGTAGGAACTGAAGCAAATCTTTTCCAGACGGCATTTGGGAAGGGTGAGGTGGGAGATGTATGTCCTAAGCACTGCCAAGAGTTCTCTGGACTTGAACTGGGGAAAGGTTGCTTTGGACTTGGCACTCAGCTGGTAATCTGATTTGCTGTCTGTATGGGAATGCTGCCTCCCATATCTCTGGACTAGAGTTAGTTGGCTCTGTCTCTTTACCAGAGAGAAGGGCAGAGGGCTCACCATAAGCTTGCAGAGCTGGAATGCTACAGTTCAGCACTGCAGGAACACTTTGGACATGATGCTCCTGTGTCTGAGTGAGGTTTGGTACTGGAAAAGCTTGAAAATGCAGCTGTGTGCCAAGAGGATTACTCTGAAAACCAGGAGATTTCCCTCTCCTTGGTGCAGACCTGGCGGATGGAGTCCTAGATACAGACTGCAGAGCGAGCTGGGCTGGCAACAGGGGCCACCTGAGGCAAGCCAGACAGCTGGCAAGGGTGCTTGTCAGCTCCAGAAATATGGGTTCTCTAGAGAAGAGCACAATAAATTGCCTGGCTTTTGTCCAAGAGTAAAGGAAGGAACCAGGAGTGAATTAATGCCAACAGAAATCTCCACCCACCCCCCAGAAGAAGCTGCTTTGCCTCAGAACCCAGCGAGCCTGGTTCCCAGGCTGGGACCACTGACATCCACAGTGGTGCAGCCAAGCAGCGAGCAGCCCCGAGGACTGGTGGGGCAAGATGCATGGTTCTTGTCTTCTGGAAAACGATCTCCACCCTCCTGGCTTGGATGATTGGCCTCTGATCCCGGTTCCCTCCAAAGGAGGAAGAGTTGAGAGGAATTGTTCAGGTGCACCCAGCTCCCTTGGCACACAGGAGCAGACGAGTCTCCACCTGGGTGGCGTATTCTCAGGGCCAGGCTAGTATTCTGAGCATTGCTGTGTTTGTAGGTACTGATTTGATCCAGGACTTGTGGCTTTTTAGACTGTGTGAAGCAGCTTAGGCATAGATAGATAACCTGTTTGCTTTGTCCTCTGGCCAACACTTGACAGGAAAATCCAGTTCCTTTGAGGTCTCTAACAAGGCTGCTGAGACTGAAGGGGAAGGTGAGAGGGGCTGGATTGTGGAACCTCTACAGGTCAGCCATGCACGTGTCCCTGCTGGCTGAGGAGGAGGTTGTCACTGGTGAAGGCTCAGTGGATTTCTTTGTGCTCAAGGCTGGACTTCAGTGTAGTTCTGCTGGATGAAGCACCTCCCTTGAAAGTAAGCTGGAGGGAACCTGGCAGCCTCAGCTGGAGGGTTGGTAGTCAAAAAAGGGGCACAGGCTCCAGAGGAGGTGAGTGGTTGGTCGAGTCTAAGCTCCTCTGGGCCTCGCCAGCTTGTTTGGAATTGCATCCCTGGTGGTTGCTCAGCTGGGTGATGACAGGACCATCTGTGGAAACATGTTTCCTACTTGAGCTGGGAGAAAGCAGCAGCTTCTCCCACCACTGTGCTGCAAATAGTTCTCTGGAGCTTGTAAGATTTTTGCTACTTGTTCTCCTTCATACCAGAGGGAAATGCTCAAGCCCAGGAGTGCATAAGGCCTCGCAGAGCAGTGGTTCCAATAGCAGCTCCAAAGAAACATCCCAGGCAAGGGGTGGGACATGTCAGAATGAAGCAAGGACCTGGTTTTGGAGGCACAGTGAGTGGAGGCTCACTCATTCTGGTCAGGGTTGTTGTCATTGAGGTGTTTTCAGGGGGGGGACATGGGGTTTCGTGCTGTTGCAGGAGGCTGCATATATTGTTTTGGTGGCTGCTGTGGAGGCTTTGGGAAACAAAAGGAGGGAAGTACTGGAGTGCTTAGTTCCTAATGTAGGGTATTTTGTCTTTGCTAATGCCTGGGTGTGAAGGAGGCACCAGCCCTCCCCCAGCTCTAGATGGGGCATCAAGAAGCCTGGAATCTTCTGGAAAACTGAGTGAAGAGTCAAAACTATCCTCTAATGGCGTGTAATGAAACTGTTAGTTCCTGGGTCAGGTTCATTGTCAGAAAGGACTGGGGTGGTTTATGGGAATAAATCAAGCCCTTGACTCAAGGTCCATCTGCTGGGCAGCCTTCTGTTCAACGTAGGGCTGCTGAAGGTGAAGATCCAGTTTAAGGCCCATCACTAAATGCATTCTGATTGCCTCAGGGTTACTAGATGGCATCTGTTCTCTTGCCCAGGCTCCTCTCAAAGATCCTGACAGAATGTGAAGATGCAGATGAAATCGAGTACCTGGTGGATGGCTCCTGGTGTCCCATCAGAGCTGAGAAGGAGCGGAGCTGCAGCCCTCAGTGTCCCATATTAGTTCTAGGTGAGCATCTCTAGGGGTAAAGACTTGAAATTACTGTAGGAAATGTGCACTGCAGAAGTGGAGTTCCCCAACTGGCTGAGAGGGGGGTCAAACCTTTAACAGGCTTCCTCAAAAGGAGGTCGATCCTCAGCCTCTCCGTGTTTGAAGCATTCAAGACAATGCCTTTAATAACACGATTTAGCTCTTGGTCAGGCAGTTGGAGTGGGTGATGGTCGTAGCTCCCAGCTGACCAAGTCACTGCATGGCTGTGGGAGATGGAGAGTGTGGCAGCAGACCCTCAGCTGATGTGAGGTGTCTCAATGTGCCCTCTCTTCCCCCTCTTCAGGTTCCTCTGATGTGAACGGGCTGTTGCCCACTCCCAACACTAACGGTGAGAACGGTAAGGCCGCTGCAGATGTTGTAGATTTAACACTGGACAGCTCCTCCTCGGAGGAAGAGGAGGAGGAAGACGAGGAAGAGGATGACGATGATGAGGGACCCCAACCAAAACGACGCTGCTCTTATGAGAAAGGTTTAGTTTCTGCCTGCTGACTGCGGAAGCAGCTCTGAATCTCAGAACGGACAGACTTGAATACTCTGGTGCTTATTGAACTGGAGGAGGGGGATAGCGTCCTTTTCCATCTCATCTCCCTTCCTCCCTCATCTCCTTTGACCTTCCTATTCCAAATTAATCATTAAAACGAGAGAAAAAGAAAACAAAAAGCAAACTACAACAAAAAAGAAAAAAAATTAAAAAAGAAAACAAAAAACAAACCATTGAGCTGCTGCTTGGTTGGAAAAGAAATGACCCCACTCAAAGCCTGATCCTGAACTGGAGTCTGAAGCAAGGAAGGAAAGTGTCTTCAGCCAGGCAGTCGGAATGCACAGCTCCACCTGCACGTCGCCAGGACACCCAACTCCGTGCATCTCCAAAGCTGTGTGCATTTTAATGTCTTGTTAAATAACCATTCCTTAATTAATCTAAAGGGGTTTGCTGGACGTGTGAGTCCGGGGTGGGGAGGGAGGGGGGAGCCAGGGCGGGTGGGTGAGGGAGGTTTGTATAACCCAGGAGGCTTAGAAGGGATTTTTAGGGGTTGGGGATGGGGGGCATGGGGTGAAAGGGGAGAGACGTACAATTGGAATCGCACTGTTCTAGATAGGAGCTCCAGCAGCTCTGCACCTCATGTAAAGAGACATGGTTTGAATCCTTTTAAGCTAATCCGAAGGTAAACGTAGAAATTGTGCGTAGTGCATCGCTTTAGTTGAGCAGAAGCCATGGGGAGGGGTGGGGAGGGGCTCGAACCACAAATCTGTTGTATTTTTGAAGTGCAATAACTTGGTGTTTTTGAAGACTTAAAAAGGGCTGCACATTCCCTTTTCGTTGAGGCGGCTTCGTTTCTGGAGGTGGTGGCAGTGACCTGCAGGACAGCCGGACGCCTGGCACGTGAGGAGGAGCAGGGCAGGGGGGGCGAGGGCCTTCGACAAAGGTGCCAGGTGGGGGAATCTCAGTTTCTAGCCAACTACCTCGGTAAACTCCAATTCAGGTTTCTTTCAGTCACGACCCAGTGCACGGCCCGGCACCGGCGCTGCTGGCGGCACTCTTGGCGCAGGGTGTTGAGCCGAGGGACGATGCGTGGAGCCCTGCGACGGCGCGTTAACAGCCTCTGGACTTTCCACTTCTCTGTTCAAGACTTTGGTCCCAGACCCAAAGCTACTGCTATGCTCTTGGTGGCAAAACGTCGTTATTTTGAGTTTGCAGACGGGGAACCTTTCTGACTTATCTTAGGGAATTTTTGTAATTAACTTGACGCCTCTGAACTCTCTTTTGCTTTGGACCTCGTTGGCTTTTCTGGGCTGCAGAGGGAGAAACAAACTGGGGCAGCAGGTTGTTCTGTGCCCCTGCCCCGCAGGATGGGTGCCACGCAGCGGCCATGTGCCCGTGCCCAGCACATCATCTCCTTGTGCTGCATGGAGACCTCTGGGTGAGCGGTGCCATGGGGAGCTGCTGTTCCCGGCTGCCGGCACGGTCCCAACCCTCCTGCATCCCCCTGGGCCAAAGCAGCACCAAACCCAACCCTGCGCTTGGGGAAAAGCAAAGCACGGCCAACGTCACCTCACCAGAAAAGCCACCGAGGTCCCCCCAGAGCGATGTGGATTCCTTGTGGTGATGCCCCAAAGTACAGGATTGATTCTCTAAATGCTGCCGAGCAGGAAGCTTCCACTGGGTTTGGGGGTTTGGGAGCTTCCTCTCCCGCTCTCTCCCGGGGCTCATCCTTGCTCCCAGCCCTTCCTGCCCAGCTCCTTTTCGTCTCCTCAAACAAAAACTTGAAGGCAAAAGGGGGTTGGGGGGGGGTTGAACCCCCCCTGATGTCCCCTCAGCATCCTGCGGGCGCGTCGTGGCCGGGGGGCAGCCGCACCACGAGCCCCCCCCCAGCGACGCTCTCGCTTGTTCGACGTGGACTTTCCTTTTCCTTCTCTCTTGTTCTTCTGTTTGTGTCTGGAGCAATACGTTGTCAGGGTTCAGCGGGGTGGGCCGGGGGTTAAAGCAAGCGTGGGGAGGGCTCAGAGCGTTTTGGGGTTCGCTGTCTGAAGTTCGGTGGCTCGGTCCCTGGCTACACGGTAGCTTTAGAGTCCACTTTTTGTTCCTAATATTTGTGTTCTAATTTAATTGCTTCTTACATTTTCCAGGCCAAGCCACTGTTTGGAAACATCATGGTTGTGTTACTGCTTTTTCTGTTTGAGTTGGCCAGCTCTTCCTGTACATATGTTTGTTTGCTTATATCCCGTTTCTTTCCTTTTTTTTTTTGGTTTGTTGTTTTTTTTTTTGTAAAGAGAAGAGAAAAAAAAAAAGAAAAAAAAAGAAAAAAAAAGAAAAAAATACAAAAAGAAAATTATTTTTCTTTCCCTCAGTACACATTCTTCGAAGTTCAAATTATAGTGTTTGTTAAATAAAAAGAAAGATTTACATTTAATGCGGTGTCGCCTTTGGCTCAATGGGCTTTCCGCTCACCCCAACCCCGGCTCCGTGGGGGGTTTATGGACGCAGCGGGCGCAGGAGGACCGGGGCGGTGGTCCCACGGGCACCTCGGTGCCACTTTGAATTCCTCCACCTCCATTGGATTAATCATTTTATTGATGAGGCTTAAAGGGCCAAATCCCGCTAAAGCCGCGGCTTTGCCAGATAAACACCCGCTTTGGAGGCAGCCCGTTTGTGAAAACACAATTAGCAAAGGCTCTAATCTGCACTAATTACCGCCCGGGCCCCGCAGCGCTCCCCACGCGCCACCGCCACCATGGGGGACACGGGGCCCGGGCAACAGCGCCCGCCCGGGGCCTCCTTCACCATCGAGTACCTGCTGTCAGCGCAGGGGGACCCTGAGCCCCCCGGCCCGAGCCCCCCAGCACCTCCCCGGCCGCCGGCGGAGCCCGGGGACAAACCATCGCAGTCCTACATTGCCCTCATCTCCACCGCCATCCTCTCCTCGCCCGAGAAGAAGCTGCTGCTCTCCGACATCTACCAGTGGATCATGGACAACTACCCCTACTTCAAGAACAAGGTGAGCGGCTGCCGGACCCCTTCTCCTGGGCTTTCATCCGGTTTTGATGGTTCAGGGTGGGCAAACGGGGGGCTGAGCCCACAGCGCCCGTGTTGGGCTGGGGAAGGGCTGGGTTTCACTCACCCCATCTCCAACGAGCCCGATGCGGCGCCCACGTCTTGGGACGGTTCCTGCACGCGGCTCGGGCGCCGCTCGCTCTGGTGCCTACCGCCGTGCGCCGGGGACGGCTGACGGCCCCTCTCGGCCCAGGAGAAGAGCTGGCGCAACAGCGTCCGCCACAACCTCTCCCTGAACGAGTGCTTCGTCAAGGCTGGGCGCAGCGACAATGGCAAAGGCCACTTCTGGGCCATCCACCCGGCCAACATGGAGGACTTCGCCAAAGGGGACTACCACCGCCGGCGCGCCCGGCGCCGCGTCCGCAGGTCAGCGGGACCACGGGGGGGTGCCTGCGGTGAGGGGTGATTTGGGGGGTCAGGGGGCTGACCCGGTTGCTCTGCTTCCCCTTCGCAGGGTGAACGTCGGCTTCTACCACCCCTATGCCCTGTACGGCTGCTGCTGCCCCTGGTGCCCCCCGGCACCCCCAGCGCCCTCCCTGGCCCTGCCGGCTGCCCCCCAACGCACCCGCTGGGGATGGGGACGGGTTCCTGCTCCCTGGGGTCCCCTCCTGCCCCGGGCCCCCTTCCTGTAGCCCCCACCCTGCTTTGGGGGTCAGAGGCAGGGGAAGCCTTCATGGGACCCCCCAAACCATGGCAGGGATGCTCTGCATGTTGTGTGTGTGTCCCCCATCACCCCAAGGGGTCTCCAGGGCCCCCCACTTGGATGCCCCGCTGGGATGAAGCCTGAGCCCAAAGGGGGACCCCCATCACGCTGCCCCATGTCCCCTATCATGGAGGGGTCCCTGCCATCCCCCCCCCTTCCGCCAGCACAGCACATATGGGGCTTAGACCCACCAGGCCCCTGCCCTAATTATTTCCTCGCTAATTGCCCCTGACGCCCCTAATGAGCCTCGCGGCTCCCAGGTGTTAAGTGGCATTAGGGCGTCTCACTGGGGAAGGCGACTTGGCCACTAAATCCCAAGAGATAAAACCCCAAAGCCCTTCGCGCTCCGAGAACTAGGAAGCTTATGACACAAGGTAATCCCTAACACTGGATGGGCCCGGGGGGGGGGGTCCGGGGTGATGGGGCTCGCTTGGGGATGGGGGGGGTTGGATCTTGGGGTCCCCTCTGTCTGCCTCAGTTTCCCCACTTGCAGCCGGTCCCAACACCCATTGGGGGGGGGAGTGAACCCCCAAACCCCATCCCCAAAGGCTCCTTAACCCGCTGCCATCTGGGGTGTTTGCCCTGCTCCTAATCTGTGCCCAATCTGTGCCCCCCCATCACACCTCGGCCCCCCACCAGCAGCTTAATGGGGGGAGATGGGGAGGGAGGACCACCATCCCCCCCCCATCCTGCCCCACCACTTTACAGAGTGGGGGGGGTTGTTCCCATTGGGGATACTGAGGCACAGCACCAGGAATGAGCCCCCCATATCCCACCCCAAATCGGGCTTAAACCCCCCCCAAAAAGAGAAATAACCCCCCAAAAAACAGAAATACCCCCGAAAACAGAAATAACCCCCCCAAAAACAGAAATACCCCCCCAAAACAGAAATACCCCCCAAAAACAGAAATAACCCCCCCAAAAACAGAAATACCCCCCAAAAACAGAAATAACCCCCCCAAAAACAGAAATAACCCTCCCCAAAAACAGAAATACGCCCCCAAAAACAGAAATAACCCCCCCAAGAAGCTTCCCCCCCCCCCCCCCCAAACACCACCACAACCACTCACTCGGCTGTTTTTAATATATAGTTTATTTTCTTTTCTGTTTTTAAAGCCCCCCCTCCCCCCCCGAAAAAAAAAGTGCAATTTTTATTATTTTAATTTTTATCTTTTTTTGTGGTTTTTTGTTGTTTTTTTTTTCCTTTTTTCCTCCTCTCCCACACTTTATAAAGAGCTATCAAAGTTACAATCTATGGAATGTCTTTTCTGTGCTTGTTTGAATAGATATAGATTTCATTCTCCGTCTCTCTCTTTCTCCTCACACCTTTTGAAACACCCCCCCCCCCAAAAAAAAAAAAGAGACCACAAAAGTAGTTTTTACACATAAAAACCGCTGCAACCTTGCGAGTGCTTTCGATAGAGAAATCTCTTTGAATAATTCTCTTTATAGATAGAAAGACGCAGAGAAATAAAAACCCCAAAACAGAAAAAGGGGGGGGGGGGGGAGAAGCAACCAAGAAGTGGCCCCGGCTCGAGCATCCTCGCTTGGGCTCACACGGCCCCGTCCACCCCCTCTGCCCCAGGAGCCCTTCCAGCTCTCGCTGTGTGTGTGTGTATATATATATATATATATATAATCACTATAAAACACAACGTTTGCTACAGTTTGCCCCCCCCCCCCCCATTCAAAACGGTTCCTCTTTATTAAATAAACCTTTATAATCCAAAATATAAATAAATCCGAGCTGCGATAGAACTTTATTTGCTTTTAAATACCCAAATCAGGTGGGTTTTATTTTGGGGGGGGGACACACCACACACAACCACACACACACACGCACGCACTGAGTGGTGGGTGCTGAATGGGGATGGAAGGGGGGGATCAGCCCTTTACCCTGCAGAACCAGCCCCCCCCCCACCTCAATCATAGCCCAGCCTGGGGGGACACCCCCCCCCCTTAGCCCCATTTTGGGGGTTACAAGCCCCCAGTGGGGCTCAATGCAGCATCTTTACACTGGGGGGTGGAAAGGGATGCCCCCCCCCCAAAGCCTCCCCATTGCCACCAATGCACCCCAAACCCATCACTTGGGGGGGGATAGACGTGATCCCCCCCTCTCAGCCTTACACTGGGGCAAGGGAAGGTTTCAGAGGGTTTTTTACTTCTTTTGTACCAAAAAAGCTTCATTTTCCCTCTGTTTTCCCTCATTAATGGGATGGGAAGGGGGGGGCAGCCAGGGCTTGGGAATTTCTAATGCATTTTGGTTTATTCCTGGTGTTTCCCGGCCGGGCCCTAACTCAGCAGGATCTTTGGCAACACTTTTATCACGACCTGAATTGCAGAAATCAACCCAAACTCAACCGAAAGCAACCCAAACCTGAAACCACGACAAGGAAGGGGGGCCATGGGACGGGACAGACCTGCGGGGTTGTTTTGGGGGGGGTTTCGCCTGTTTTCTATCTTTTAGTGCAAACTGAAGCTGTGCTCAAGTGCTGCAGCGAGGGCTGGGGGGGGCATGGGGCTGTCACAAGCCTGGGGGCATTCTTGCTGTGGGGATCCTGAGAATAAACCTCTCCTCTTCCTTTGCTTTTTTGCCATTTTCTCTGGTTTTTACCCCTTTTTTCTTCCCCCTTTATTTCCCCGTCCTCATTTCTTCTTCTTCCCCTTATTTCTTTTTTTCTCCCTTATTTTCAGCTTACTTTATCTATTCCACCCCCTTTATTATTCCCCTTTATTTCTTCCTTCCCTCCCCCCAATTTCTCTTTGTTTTTTCCCCTTCTTTTTTCCCCCTTATTCCTTTCTTAGCCTGGAGAAGAGAAGGCTCCTGAAGGGGAGACCTCAGAGCAGCTCCAGTGCCTGAAGGGGCTCCAGGAAAGCTGGAGAGGGGCTTTGGGCAAGGGATGTAGGGACAGGCCAAGGGGAATGGCTTGAACCTGCCAGAGGGGAGACTGAGATGAGCTCTGAGGCAGAAGCTCTTCCCTGTGAGGGTGCTGAGGCGCTGGCACAGGGTGCCCAGAGAAGCTGTGGCTGCCCCATCCCTGGCAGTGTTCAAGGCCAGGTTGGACACAGGGGCTTGGAGCAAGCTGCTCCAGTGGAAGGGGTCCCTGGCTTTAGATGAGCTTTAAGGCCCCTTCCAGCCTAAGCCATTGAGTTTATGATTTCCTTTTTATTCCCCTTGTTTCCCCCACCTTATTCGTTTTCCCCCTCTCTTTTCCCTCTCCCATTCCCACCCCTGCCCGAGCTTTGCCAGCCCCAGGGAGCCGCAGGTTTACCCCTCAAGTGCCCCAAACCCCCCAGACTTCCAGGGCTCCTTTGAGGACCGGGAACAGGGGAAGGCAGTGAAAACTCAAATCAACACAAACTAGAGCAGAGATACCACAACAAGGACGAGAAAGAGCCTCAAGTCAGTGTCTATTTACAACGCCACGCTGGGATTTCTCTTTGCATATGCCAGGGTTAGCCAGTGCTACGCAGAGGAGCCCATGGAGAGGGAGAGAGGGGAGGGTTACCTGCGCCTCTTCCCAAGGGATTGGATGCCCGGGATGCAAAGCCCCGGGAGCATCGGGTCCTACCCCCCCCACCGTGCCCGGAGCGACGTCTGGCCTAGCACTGGCTACGAAACATGGAAGGAAGAAAAACAGAATCAACTTCAAAGGATCATAAAGGGGAGAAAAGGAACACGGCCGAGCCCCCGAGCACCCCCGGCATTCCCGCCCGGAATCCGAGCTGCCGTGCCCTTTCTGCCCTTCCGCTGTGGGCACGAGCCCCGTTCCTCCCACCCCACCACTGGGGCTCCATGAACTGGACGTTGGGATTCTGCCGATGGGGTTTTTTTGTTGGTTTTTCTCTTTCTTTGTTAAATATATATATATATATATATACACATTATTTTTTTTTCTTACAAAAATAAATTTAGGCTTTTTTTTTTTTAATAATTTTTTTCCGTAGAAGTTTTTTTTTTTGTTTTTTTTTTGTTTTTTTCACTTGTAAACATCTTTTTGCTTTTGCTTTTTAAATTAAGATAAAGTGAGCTCAAAGTACCCGTTCCATCGCAAAGTGCTAAGACTTCTTTGTATTTATTTTTTTTTTCTGGTTTATTGTGGTTTTTATCATGGTTGGTTGTTGGTTTTTTTTTTAATTCTCCTTTTTTTTTAAATTCTTTTTTATTGCTTTTTTTTGTGTGTGAGTTTTGCTTTGTTTTTATTTCTGCATTAAATAAAACATCCGTCTCTCCCCCAGCCCCACCACTCAGCCCTCCCCCCCAGCACACGCTCCCATCTCACTCCCTCTCCAAAATACATTCGGCCAATAAAACCTGCTCTTTGCTGTTTTGAAAGTAAAAACACCAAAAAAAAACAAGGAAATAAAACCAAAAAAATAAAAGGAAGAGAATCTAAAAAGTGCTTTTTTTTTCTTTTAAAATAAAAGGGCTTAAAAATCTTTTCTTTTTCTGTTTCATTTCATTTAAAAATGTGCATTTAGAAAACAGGTGACCAGCTGAAAGGTGCCTTTTCTCATCGTCCTCCGCTAACCCCAAGGGGTATTTACCCGCCTCTCGAGCCATAGAGCATCTCTATATATATATATATATTTACTTTTGGGGAAGGGGGGGAGCGGGGGGGTGCAGCTCCTCACCCCCCTCCCTGCCCGAAGGCCTCCTGCCCCCTCAAGGGAGACCTCAAATAACCTTTTCCAAGAGGAATTGCCCATTTTTAGGCGCTTTCGGGGCTTTGCTGCACCGGCCGGTGCCCAAAATCCACTGTGGAGATTGGGGGGGGAGGCTCCAGCTCCACCCCCCCCAAACCCAGCCCCATCGGTGCTGGGAAGGGGCCGGTGGGATCCACCCGGTGCCGGATCCGGACCCATTTCGGCTCCTTCCCGGGAGCACAGGGACCCCCTGGGATGGGGACGGGTGCACCCTCAGTGGTGGCACTGGCATGGGGACGGTGTCGTCACCTTGGGTACCCCAACACTGGATGTCCCCAATGCCAGGTGTCCCCAACATGGGGTGTCCCCAGTCTTGGGTACCCCCAACATTGGATGTCCCCAACATGGGGTGTCCTCACCTTGGGTACCCCCAACACTGGATGTCCCCAACATGGGGTCTCCCCAGCCTTGGGTACCCCCAACATTGGATGTCCCCAACATGGGGTGTCCTCACCTTGGGTACCCCCAACACTGGATGTCCCCAACATGGGGTCTCCCCAGCCTTGGGTACCCCCAACATTGGATGTCCCCAACATGGGGTGTCCTCACCTTGGGTACCCCCAACATTGGATGTCCCCAATGCCAGGTGTCCCCAACATGGGGTGTCCTCACCATGGGTACCCCCAACATTGGATGTCCCCAATGCCAGCTGTCCCCAACACGGGGTGTCCTCACCTTGGGTACCCCCAACATTGGATGTCCCCAATGCCAGCTGTCCCCAACATGGGGTGTCCTCACCCTGGGTACCCCCAACATCGGATGTCCCCAACATGGGGTGTCCCCAGCCTTGGGTACCCCCAACATTGGATGTCCCCAGTGCCAGGTGCCCCCACCCCAACAATGGGTGTCCCCAACACAGGGTGTCCCCGCACCCCACGTCCCACCCTGCAAACTCCCTCTCGTCCCTCACATGATTGGGCAAATTTCAGGCAATTTTCGGCAATTTTCTCCCCGGTGCCCATCCCAGCTTCACGCGGGGCTGCCGGGACGGACCCTGAGCCCTCACCCCAAAACCCTGACCCCATGTCCCTGGATGCTGCCCCGGGACGCAGCAGCCACCGCGGGGGCTCTGACTTCCCATAGAGCAGAGTGGGGAAGGCCCCACTCCAGGCCCCTGACTGAGCCCTTCCTCTCCTACCACCTCATTTTTTTTTTGCTATTTTTGCTTTTTTTTCCTTAAATAGATCTCTCTGAAATAAGTATTTTATTATTTTTTTTTTTCTTCTCTCTTTTTAACGTGTGTTTGGACACAAAATAAAGCTTTGGATTTACATGGAAGCTCTTTTCCATGCGACACAGCCACTTTCCATCCCCGCCCCGTGCTGCCTAGCGTCTGCCTTTCCAAGTGAAGGTCCTTGGCTACTGAGGGATCCTCGGGGGAGCCCTGCTTACGATGGGAAGATTGGAAACGTAAAATCTATTCTCTGTTTTTTTTTTTGTTTTTTCTTTTTTCCCCTCTTTTTTTTTTCTTTTTTTTTTTTTTTTTCTTAAAAAAAAGGGAGAGAAACATCTCTAAAGAGAAAAAAAAACGGGAGGAAAAGTTGCTAACTATAAGGGGTTGGTTGGTTGTTTTTTTTCTTGTGATGCTTTCTGTGATGTTTTTGGTTTAGGAGAGTCCTTGCGTGTTACCCTCAGCCGACCCTCCTGCTACATTCAATCCCGACGCTTCGTTAGCCGAAGGCTCCTCAAAGTGCTGCTGCTCGGGGCCGTTCCTCTGCTGGGTGTCCTCTGATTCCTGACTCTCCCCACCCGTTGGGAAGCTCCCATCTTCCGCGCTGCCCGGCGGGGTGCTGGGGAGAGCCCCGGCATCCCTCACCCGGGGCTTGCGGCCCCTCCGCGATGGAATCCCGTTGCATCCATCTTTTTTAAGGTGCCTGTGCAAGTGGTCGGAGCGGACGAAAGTCTTGAAGCAGCTGTCGCACTGGTAGGGCCGCAGGCCGGTGTGGACGCGCATGTGGTTCTTCAAGTCGTAGTTGTGAGCGAAGGCGGCGCCGCATTGCTGGCACAAGTACGGCTTCTCCCCCGTGTGCTTCCGCATGTGAACCTTCAGCTTGTCCTGCCTGGGGGGGGGACACAAAGGACAGGGAAGGGGAGGGCAGGTCAGCTGGGGGGGGGGGGCTGCCTTCATCCCCAAGAGTGTGGGACAGGGCTGAGCATCGCCTGGTGCGGGGTCAGAGGGAACCGGGGTGGAAAAGAGCTTTAAGAGCATCAAATCCAACCGTGCCCAGCAGTGCCAAGGCCACCCCTGACCCATGGCACTGAGGCCTCGTCTCCACGGGGTGTGAGCACTTGCGGGGACGGTGCCTGCAGCCCTGTTCCAATGCCTGAGCACCCTCTGGGGCAGGAATTGTTCCTCAGCTCCATCTAAACCTGCCCTGGTGCAGCTTGAGGCCGCTTCCTCTTGTCCCATCCCTTGTTCCTTGGGAGCAGAGCCCAGCCCCTCCTGGCTCCATCCTCCTCTCAGGCAGTTGTAGGGAGCCATCAGGTCCCCCCTGAGCCTTCTCTTCTCCATCTGACCCCCCCAGGTCCCTCAGCCCTTCCCCATCACACTCGGGCTCCAGGCCCTGCACCAGCTCCAGTGCCCTTCTCTGGCCCCATCCAGCACCTCAATGTCCAAGCACGGGTTCGGGTGCGAGCCCCGTGCCGTGGCGCTGGCTCCGGTCAGGCGGTGCTGCCGCAGCGCACCCGAGCCAGGGGAGGGCACTTGCAGCAGCCGGGCTGGAGGCCAAGGGAGCCACGTGAGCCGCTGCTTCCTGCAGGAAAAACCCATCAGGCCCGGGGCCCATGGCCCCACATGGGGAACCCAACTCCCTGCTATGGGGCAGAGCCCGGAGCGGCAGAGCCACCGCTGCCGTCAGCCATGGGGGCCAACCCCAGCAGCACGAGGAGCCCCAGGGAGCCCTAAACCTGCAGGGAAGGACGTGTCCACCTCCGGTCTGAACACCCTGGGAAGCAGCGCAGGGCACACCAGCACGGCTCCTAATTCCCTATGGGATCACGCAAAGCGTTATCGTCGTCGTTGTAACATCGGCAATCAGCAGAGCGCCATCGGCGCTCCTCCCACTGCCAACACAGAGGAACCAGGAAGCAGAAGGCAGTGGGAACCGACGGGCTCCGGTCCTCACCCAGCAAGGGGGTGGCAGGGAACACCCCAAATCAAACAGCCTTCACCCCAAGTGCTCCTGCCAGAGCCGCAACACTGGCAGGGGTTGGAACCGGATGAGCTCCAAGGTCCCTTCCAGCCCAAACCATGCCGTGTTTCTGTACGCGGCGTTTTTAAATGGCACAGGGAAGAGATTTGTTTCCAAGCTGTCACCCGATGGGATGAGGATGGGGAGCACAGAGAGGGAATGCAAAGGGGTGTAATAAGGCTGATGGAGTGAGGTTTGTTCCCACTCTGACATTAGAGGCTCTGAGATGAGGCTTCAAGCCCCAAGTGCTGGGGGAGAAGCAACAAAAAGCAACTGATGGGCACCCCTTTTGAGCAGAGGAGACCTGGACCAGCACCTGAGCTGGGCCCACTCTGCTGTGCCCCATGGCAAGGCTGCCCTGGGGGGACAGGGCAGAGGGAGCAGGAAACCAGCTGCAGCCTCATGGAGGCTGTTCCACAAGTGGCGTGACCGCCTGAGCCGCGCTCCTGTCCCCGTGTCCCATCCAGGCTCCTCTGTGCCCAAACGCCAGCTGCAGGGAGAAGCAGGGGCAGGTATTTTGGCTGGAAAATGGCACAGCCCTGCTGTGGGATGAAAGGACACAGCGCTTCCCCCCTGTCCTTCACAGGGACGCCAAGGGGAGCAGGTCCCCATCCCGTACCCACAACAGTCTGGGTTGGAAGAGGCTTTCAGAGCTCATCCAGTTCCACCCGCCCGCAATGAGCAGGGACCTCTTCAACCAGAGCAGGCTGCCCAGAACCGCGTGCCCTTGGCAATGGGGCTGGCGCTGCCCCAATCCCAGGCTTCCCCCCTCATCTCTCCCCCTCTCCTCCAGGGACCCCGCGGCGTTCCCACCCCCTCCAGCTCCTCCATCGGCAGCAGGACCCCGTCCCGCTCAGGTGTGGCAGAGGGCTCGGGCTCAGCGCCGGGCAGGGAGGTGCCGCGTGGCAGGGCCGGGTGCTGGCATCCTGCCCCCGCCATTATCTGCATTCCTCAGCTCTCCAGCGTGGGGCTGGGTGCGGCCGTGGCCATGGTGTGCACCGGGGAGGGGGCTGGCAGCGCCGTGGGGCAGGACGCGGCCTCCTGCCCACGGCTCAGCCCCGGCGGCTTCACGCCGGAGCCGCCCGCTGCGTCCACGGGCTGCCCCATGGACCCCAGTGCTGGTGCTGGCAGCGACGCAGGCGGATGTCTCAAGGGCAGGAATATCCCAAGGACAAGCAGCCCCCAGAGCCCCCCTGAGCAGGGCTGTGGAGGAGGACACCAGGGTGGGACCCCAGCCACCAGAGCCAGCGAGGAGGCGGCGCTGGGACGCGTGGACTTGAGTGAACCGCAGGGATTTGAACAATATCCCCTTTCTTCGGCGCTCCCGTGGTGGATGGAGGGGAGGAGCGGAGGAACCCTGATTAGAAACAGGGCTGAGGAGAACGCCCCCAGGGAGCTGAACCACCGGGGGTTGTGCTGCTCGGGGCCACCATCGCCCCACACACCACGGTTGGCTGAGAGTGGCCACGAGCAGTGCGGGCTCTGACCTCTTCCCAAACCCAACTGCCAGGGCTTCAAACTCCCCGGCTCCTGCCTCAACCCTGGGCACCTCAGCCACGATGGACACCCCAAGGCCTTCAGTTCTGCTGCATCAACCCCGTTATCTGGCCTTTGCAGAAGCCCAGGTCTGGCCAGGTTTCCAGCAGAGCTCAGCAATTCAGGACCCCGGGACACTGTGGCACCGTGCCCCATGAGACACCTCAAGAGCCAGGCACCCAAATTGCTCCTCTGGCCTTCACTTGCCCGTTAAGATGGGAGCGAGCTGAGCAGGCAAAGTAAAACTGCCCCAGATCAGCGCAGGGGAAGCCAGGAGCCGGTGGTGCCTGGGGCAGCCCCTGTCCCCCCGCGGCCGCCCGCTCCTTACCTGGTGAATCGGACTTTGCAGATGTTGCACTCGTAGGGCTTCTCGCCGGTGTGGGTGCGGATGTGGCGCGGCAGCTTGCCCGCTCCTTGGATCACCTTCTCGCAGATGGGGCACTTCTGGAATGCTTTCGCCCTGATCTTCTTCTCCACCTTCTGGGACCAGGAGGGGTAGACATCGCCCTCGTTCGAACTGCCGAAGTATTTCAAGTAATAATCCATGACCCCATCGTCATCCTTGCGGTCGTCCTCCCCGAGCTGCTGCCTCCCCACGGAATTCATCATCTGCTGCAGCAGGGCGCTCGCAGCCATCCCATCCACCTCCCTTCCATCATCCTCCGTCTCCGCTCCAGCAGGAACGAAGCTGGGGGAGTCACCGGCTTCCTGCTGGTCCAGAGGGCCCCCCGGGGTGCCCTCCTCTTCTCCCGGCGTGGCCAGGCCACGGCTGCTGTAATGTCCATTCTGAGAAGGGGAAAACATGGAGCCGGGAGCCGCCTCCTCCTCCTCTCTGTCCAGCCACATGGCTGGGTTGCTGTCAGGATCACAGTCATTCGCCTTTGGTCTTTCGTTTAGGGGGGCTTGCGAGTACAAGTCCATGCCATTGCAGTCCGGCTCCTCCTCCTCCTCTGGGCCTCGGATGTTCAGTCTCGAAAGGTCTCTCAACTCTGGGTTGGTCCACGGAAAGCTGCCTTGATGGCCATTGACGGGGTTGCTCTGGAAGAACTCCAGGTACTCTTTTGCTCTGAGATGGTTCCTTTG